ATCACAAGGAACCTCTAATATTTGTTCTGAAACAGGATGCTGTGGTTGTGTTTGTTATTTAAACAGTTTATATTACTGATGGCAAGCAAAAGTTGGGCGGAAGACTGGAAGCCTATGGCTGGGGGGGGATGGGGGGACAACAACCAATTAGCTCTTTCTTGGTAGGGACAGGTTTCTGTTAGCTAAAGAAATTGTACCCCCCACAGGGGCGGACTGACAACTCATGGGGCCCCCGGGCAATAGGCATACTCAAACCACACCCAAAAAAGCCTATGAAAGATGTACAAAATGTATGGCTCCAATCACACCGCACACAAATCGCATGTGATGTACTGCACCGCATATATGTGAACCCAGGCTTATTCTCCATCAATAATCCAGACCAGAGGCGGATTGACAACTCATGGGGCCCCCGGGCAATAGGGGATCATGGGGCCCCTGTGTACTTGCCCAAACTCAATATAGCCTATGAAAAAGGTACCAGGGGCATCTCATGGGGCCCCCTACTGACCCCGGGCCCTCGGGTAGTGCCCAAGTTTCCAAATGGTCAGTCCGCCCCTAACCCCCCAAAATAGTAATGGTGTGAGTGGTGGGCACGGTGAAGTGGTTGTTCCTAAAGGACAAGGTTCATTGTGACACATCTTCACATCTTCCATCTTTCTTTTTTGAGAAAGTACAAGATTGTGTGTTTTCATAACAGCAAATTCTGAACATGAAATCAGAGCACTTTAAAACAAGCCCAATATTCACCTCTGTGTTTATAGGCATTGTGGAGAAATTCATTGTGACACATCTTCGCATCTTCCAGTATCATCTTCCTTAGTGGCTCTTGGCATTTGGTCAGATGACACCTTCCGGCCAAAAAGAAAATTGGTGTTCAAAAACTTCCCACTGCTAGGAGCTATGATTGCAGGTCTGAACAAGGTAGCTATGCAATGACCAGCATACTGTATGTCATCCAATACAGATCCCGCTCAGATAGATATCTAAATGGTGAAGTGTCTCCACTCAAGGCCACCAGCCCAGTATATCTTACTAGTATTGGCAGCCCAGTCCTCCCTTTGCAAGCACACATAGGAAAACAATTTCATTTTGGGCTAGTCCAAAATTGGAAGATCTTTTTTGAGAAAGTACAAGATTGTGTGTTTTCATAACAACAAATTCTGAACATGAAAATCAGAGGACTTTAAAACAAGCACACTATTCATCTTTGTGTTTATAGGCATTGTGGAGAAATTGTCAAAATTCAAAATGCAGGCATTGACATCTTAGCTTTTTTTCTATTAGAAGAGAATCTTAGAAGCCTGCTGGCCCTTTAATATAAATAGTCAAAAAATGTTTCTAAGCTTTTAGAAACCAAAAGAAACCTGTCTTTGTTGTGGTCTTTAAAGTAGTATCTAAGGCTTTATTTTTACCAATACATTTTTATTCCCAAATTGAGTACAACACCCTAAAGGAGAAATATAGGTTTATGAAAAAACTCCCCTTCTCATCTTTATACCTACTGCTAAGCTGTCCTACATGGCCTCTAAGACTGAGAACTAAGTGATTAAATGACCATTGATCATTCTGCCCCCAGTTTGCTTGGCGTGGAGAGCAGTGACTGTCAGTCACCACTCTCCACTCTTTTACTCTAGCGCTCACTGGAGTACCAGGCTGCACAGGGGCACAGAAGTTCAGCTGAATGCTGAGAGGTGGAGCCAGCTGTCAGTCAAGTAGTCAGGTGGATCCTGACAATATTGTCGGGATCCTTCCAAAACCTGGAGCGGCTGTGCTTCATGCATGAGCGGCAGGAGAGGTGGGTGCATGCATGAGCGGCAGGAGAGGGGGGTGCATGCATGAGCGGCAGGAGAGGGGGGTGCATTCATGAGCGGCAGGAGAGGGGGGTGCATGCATGAGTGGCAGGAGAGGGGGGTGCATTCATGAGCGGCAGGAGAGGGGAGTGCATGCATGAGTGGCAGGAGAGGGGGGTGCATTCATGAGCGGCAGGAGAGGGAGGTGCATGCATGAGTGGCAGGAGAGGCAGGAGCAGTTCCATGCATTTCAGTCCTGGGTGCTGGCCAGCCATGTCCTGACACTGGATCAGGCAGTTGATGGGTAAGCCAGACCTCTGACCCTCTGTTTCAGCAATGGCAGCTCCCATATATCAATGCTGATAGGTTCCATTGAAGGCTCTGTCTTTGTCCGTGTATAATATTCACACAGCAATGGATCATTTTTCTGGTTTATCCTTAGGCTTATGTACACTTATTAGTCTATTAAAATTTAACATAGGCGGCTGCTTGCCTTCATTAACTGAAGCAGTTCTAAGCAATTTAATTGTCTAAGCTCCAATGAACTTTATGCTTTAATCTGAGAGCTAAAGTTTGCAAGTATAAAATTGTGAAAGTTGATTTATCGGATTTGTGTTTAACCCTTTCTGCTTTCGTTTTAGTTTTTGGCATATAGTGCTATCTGGACATGAGCGACCAATAGGACTTCAGCTGCTGAGATCCTGGATGCTCCAACACACCAAGCCAGTAGCTGTGATGAGAATTGTGCATGACTGGACCAGGGGTGACTGACAACGCATGGGGCCCCCGGGCAATAGGGGATCATGGGGCCCCTGTGTCCTTGCCCAAACTCAAAAAAGCCTATGGAAAAGGTACCAGGGGCATCTCATGGGGCCCCTACTGACCCCGGGCCCTCGGGCAGTGCCCGTGTTTCCAAATGGTCAGTCCACCCCTGATCCAGACACATCCACTACCTAGAGTGGTTGTAAAGGCTGACGTTCTTTTACCTTCCTGCATTCTTTGTAAGAAAGTAAAAAACCTTCTAGACCCCCTAATACTCACCTAAGCCCCCTCTCCATCCAGCCATGTGCACTGGAGTCTCAGCTATCCCAGGACCCTCTCTTCTCATTGGCTGAGACAGCAATGGGAGCCATTGGGTGCAGTGGCATATTTAGGTTTTGTGCTGCCCAATCGCACCGCACACAAATCACATATGATTTGCACAGGAATGCGGTGCGGTTCTTGTGCGAATCACATGCGATGTACCGCATTGCATATATGTGAACCCAGGCTTATTCTCCATCAATAATCCAGACCAGAGGCGGACTGACAACTCATGTGGCCCCTGGGCAATAGGGGATCATGGGGCCCCTGTGTCCTTACCCAAACTCAAAAAAGCCTATGAAAAAGGTACCAGGGGCATCTCATGGGGCCCCCTACTGACCCCGGGTCCTCAGGCAGTGCCCGAGTTTCCAAATGGTCAGTCCTCCCCTGGACTGGACTTAGAATGGTATTAAACCCAAAAAAGCAAACAATTATATTGCAGCTTACCAATTCTTAGATGCGATGGCTGCATTCACTTTTTTTAGGCTTTCCTTCTTTTATTTTTACCTGGTCAGTAAGTCTGTTATTTTTCAACGGAACAAGCTGTTCTGCTTATGTAGCAGTTAGAGGGTTGAGACAAACTAATTCCCACTAAGAGGGGTACTTATAATCATCAGCTTTTATTTAGTTTTGTAAAACTTTTATCCCAAAAGTAAAAAAAACTATTTGCTGTAACTGCTTACAAGGGTTATTTACCAAGGCTGGAGAGTGAACAATCTGGTTCAACTTTGCATAGAAACCAATTAGCTTCCAGGTTTTATTGACAAAGCCTAATTGAATAAGCTGAAGTTAGAAGCTGACTGGCCATCAAACACTGCTGCAGCAGATTCTGAGTGCTCCAGTTTTAGTAAATCTCCCCCAAAGTGTTAGCCGGGGTTTGACTTCAATGTGTTAGTGTGTCTAAATCTGCTAGTACATCTAACACTCTCCTCCCCTCTAGATTAACAATACTGCTGTCCAAAGATGTTTCTGTTGCTTCTTCATCCAGAGTAGTGGCGCTATAATACAGGAGGTGAGTTACTGACCAGCAAGAGAGAATGTCACCAGCACACCGAGGATCACCAATATGGGTCCAAAAGTTTTAATGAACGATCACATAGTTACAGCAAGGCAACGTTTCAGCATCTCGTAGGACCCCTTCATCAGGCATGTGATGTCATGTTGCCTTGCTGTAACTATGTGATCATTCATTAAAACTTTTGGACCCATATTGGTGATCCTCAGTGTGCTGGTGACATTCTCCCTCGCTGATTCTGTTTGGTTCCAGCCAAAGGTCGCTGCAGCACCCACTTATACACACACCGCCATTTTTGACACAGGAACGTGTGCGTTTGGATTGTACACTTGCGTTACTGGTCAGATCACAAGGCGAAAACAGAGGGAAAAATACTAAAAAAAAGAACAAAACAAATGCAGCCACCACATCTAAGGTTTAGTAAACTGCAATATATTACATTTATGGGATTGGGTTTAACAGGTTCTGTACTGCCTTATAGCAGAAATACTGCTACAGGGCCCTACGGGTGCGCAAAATCACGTGTGTGTGTGTGTGTGTGTGTGTGTGTGTGATTTTGCAGTTCCAGGTAGGGGGCGCGTGCTGTTAATCACCAGGTCCACGCCAGCACCCAGCGATCTCCGAGAATTACCAAAGGGGGAGAGACCTGTGTATAAACAACACAGATCTCTCCCCTGTCAGCTCCTGCACACTGCTTTGTATGGCTCTGCATAGCATAGCTATGCATAACTTTCACTGATCTCCACTTTCCTATAGCAGTTGCTTATTGGATGGAATTAACATTTGTATATGTGGCAGAATTAATGTGCAGAAACAAGGATGGAAATGTGTGTGTGTCAAATAAATAAATATGCCTATTTTAAAGAAAGAGTATGGCTCCTGAAACACATAGTAGTAGTAAGTAGTATGATCACCCCTTGTGGTTACTGCACAGCAAGAAGGCTGATTGGCACAGGACCCATATAACAATGGTGATCACTGTAGTAGAAGTGACCAGGCGTGGACTGACCATTTGGAAACTCGGGCACTGCCCGAGGGCCCGGGGTCAGTAGGTGGCCCCATGAGATGCCCCTGGTACCTTTCATAGGCTTTTTCGGGTGTGATTTGAGTGTGGGTGGGGACACAGAGGCCCCATGATCCCCTATTGCCCGGGGGCCCCATGAGTTGTCAGTCCACCCCTGGAAGTGACTATTACACTGATTCTCCGCTTTCACAGTGGTCCCACAGGTATGGCATATGTATACTTGCAGTTAGCATACGTCATACTACTGAGAGCAGAGTATCGACTGTCTTTTCCCTTCCTGTGCAGTCAGCTCCCTACTGTTGCCACTCTCTTATATCTTGGGCTCACTAGACAAACCTACTGTATATGTTGCCATCCTTGGGCCCAATTTCACTACAGTACATTAAGTTCCTCCCTAGTGGACAGTTGGTTGCATCACGTAGTAAAAGGAGAACCTAATTACATTTTGACTGTCTGCAGAATAAAACCACCACTCTTAGCACACCAACAGGGCCCCAACCTTAGCCGGTGAAGTTCTATCTTAGACACTGCTCCTCTCATTCACCTTATACTTCCCCTTGTTTATTGCTCATTTTGTCTGCTAACGAGTCTAGGCCTAGCACAGTCATCGATATATTACATGGGCTATTCAAGGTGGTGTTGCTACTCCTTATGGTGATCTGGGCTAACCACCTACATAAAGGTTGTGTATGTTCCATATTTTTCTCTGTTGACTATTACTCATTCAGAGTGCTGATTTGAGTATTTGTAATTGATTTTGAATTTGCATCTGTATAAATACTACTGCCACAAATAACAAGAAATAAGTTAATTCTTTCTATGCCTCTTGTTTCTCATTGTCAAAGGCTAGATACAGAGTGTTGAGGAATTTGTACGTGTGTTCAATCTTCTAGACAAAGGGAGAAAAGAACCAGAACCCAGGTGTATCAGTAGGGTAGAGGTCTGCTGAGCGGGTGGCAAAGAACCTATCTTTACTCCTACAGAAGTAGCACTACATGCAAAAACATCCATACCCAGAATTCAGCTTTAAAGGATAAGTTCACCTTTGGGAACATGTTACATGTTCCACCCATATTTAGGGTGGGACATTTAACATGTTCCCATAGCCGCAGCCATGCACTTCACCCTCCACTCACACCCACCCCCAACAGATAGTACAGGAAGAAGTCTCCCCACACTATCTGTCAGATTTGAAAACAGCGCAGCTCCGCCCCACACGACCGCGTCACTCATTCACAGAGTTCTGTGAATGAGTGCCTACAAGTCCCAGCAGCCTTAGCGGCTGTCAGCTTGTAGTTTTCAATTAGTTCATTGAAGCTTCCTATTAGTATATCTGCTTGACTGTACATCCAGTATGCCAAACAGATATTCTGACAGGTCTGCAGGAGACCTGCATGGCATCAGCCATCTACTGATCACTAGTGCAATGCTTTACAGACTCCTTTGGACAAAAATAATAAATGCACATTTTTTTAACTGCAAAAAAAAGTGCATTTATCATTTTTGTCCAAAAGGTGAACTTATCCTTTAATGTCATGTCTGGTCTTCAGTCATCGCTTGAGTTTGGCGTTACGTGTAACTAGGCAATAAATAATGTAGGCAGATCAGGAGAGAAATCTGGGATAGCCAACAACTGGAGTCCCCAGAGTAAGTAAGAAAGCAGCATGATATTCAACTTGCCAGCATGGACAAAACTGAAAATTCAGTCTTAGGACTTGGTATTGACATAAGCAAGCCTAAGGAACCTATACAAAGACATTTCCAAAAAGAGCCAGCAGAGGGCGGTATGTACACAGTTTACCTGTGTGTAGACATAAAGGGGTCTATGTATCAGGGCTCTCACCCAAGATTATACTTTTCTAATTAAATGTATGAAAATGTGTAAATTTGGGTAGAACATTATATGTGTCTTGGGTCAAAAAATTGATAAATAGACCTTTAGGGCCAGTTCACACTACAAGCTTTCAGTTGCTTTTTTTTCTGCATCCAAATGCACAGAAAGTAGGTTATATGGTTGTCAATGTCATAGCTCACATCAGTGTTTGCAGTTCCAGTGCATTCTGGATACAGAAAAAAAGTAGAACAGGTTGCATTTTTTCAGCACAGGACTGTACTGGAACGTGGTAAAACGCATCAAAAACGCACCTGAACACACCAAAAATGCACTGGAATGCACATGCCCCTATCTAAATTGAGGAAAAAAAGAGGGGAAAAAACTAAATGGAATGCATTAAAAAAATGCACTGGAACACGTAAAAAAAGCATTAAAAGCGTGCATGCAAAAATGCATCCGGAACGCATCTGGACTGCGTCTCTATAGTGTGAACTGGCCCTTAAGCAAAACACATTAGAGAAGAATTCTGGACAAAATTAAAACATGACATACAGTATATGATGCAGTCTATCAACAACATTACCTATCGGTTTTTTTTTCCAGTTCCCCTCTAACATAGTTTAATTACCTGTTGATCTTGCCAGCAAATATTTTTCCACTTCCCTTAGGCCTAAATCACATTTTTAGCATTGTCCTGCACTGTGATCACACACAGTTACTATAATGCAAGTTCATTGTGGTGTGCCACATAAAAAAAAAATGTATTAACAGGTCAAGCCATCTGGCAAAATTGGCAATTGCAGGCAATGATATAGCTATGTATAAAATCATTAGCTGGAGTTGGATTTAATTCGTTTTTTTTTTTTATCTAAAGTAAATCTAAAACTAAAGGTGGGAATACACGATTAGAAAATCCACTGATCGGTCATCCAACGATCGAGAGGCATTTGTTCGTTGGTTGAAATTGTGGCCCACGTTAACCAATCTAAAAAAAATCGTTCGTCGGGCAATACATAGTGTTGACATCTTCCGTACAAGTTGAAGTGATGCAGCGTACGTGTGACCTTGTAGCCACACCCTTCCGCCCAGAACGAGCGATATACACAACAATTAGCAGCAATGAGTATAATATAGGTTATTACATTATCTATATACATAAATAGCGATACATATAATACATGTAATTTTCTGTAACCTCCCTGGCGGTATTCCCGAGTGTAGCTTGGGGTAAAATTTCAGCACCACAAGCGGTAACCCCGAGCTACACTCGGGCTTACCATGCGGCGCTGCTCCGTGATCCCTCGATCACTTACCTTGTCCTGCGCTCCCGCGATGTCCCTCCTGCAGTGTCCCCGGCAATATAATCCGGCAGATGCCGGCATCTGTCATCTGGGTTCCATTCCCTGCGATGTCGGGACGTACGGGGGATGGAACGGCGGGAAATTTGAAAATGACAAAAAGTGACATTCACTAAATACACTAAAATCACATAGTAAAACATTACTGTATCAAACCATTTCACATACATTTTGTCCCGAGTGCTTTGTCCTGCGCCCTGCCTGCATTTTTACTGTTCTTTCTGCCTGGAAACTGAGAAACGTCCATGGCGTCCAAAAAGTGTCCCTTTAGATCAAAAGCGGTTTTAGACCAGCTAGAGAACAGCGATAGTAAATCAGAACTACTTGCAGAATTGAGTGATAATGATTCGTGGGGAAATTCGTCATCAGACACTGAAAACGATTTTGCGACTTTGCTCAGTGATGTGCGAACTTGGCGCTCTATTTCAAATTTCAGTGTTTTTGGTTTGATTATATTATTGAATTACATTTATTATTATTATTATATTATTATTTTTTATGATTATCTATTAAATTATAATTTATGATTTCGTGTTTCAAATTTTATCATACCCGGGATGTTTACTAGACTCTTGTTCGGACAGATTTCAGTGAGTTATTCCTAAGAATTACAGGCCTACAATATAAAACGCCAAATTTCCATGCAAAATAATGGTACCGCTTTCAGCACCAAAAATCTGAAATAATCATACCGCCAGGGAGGTTAAAGTGCTCCTCTTGAAAAAAGTGCTTCTCTTGTAAACAGGTGCTCTTCAAATTTTAGATTTTGATATGTGCTTACCTCAAATGAAGCCTAACTATCAATTAGGAAACCACAGCTTTTGATTGAAACCAGGATAAAACTTAAATTTATCAGTGGTATGCAGGATACTGGATGGAATTCTCCTTTTTATCCACCGGGGTTTGTTTGGTAATCTACTCCACTTTTGAATGGATAGGATTACATGGATCCAGGGGCGGACTGACCATTTGGAAACTCGGGCACTGCTCGAGGGCCCGGGGTCAGTAGGGGGCTCCATGAGATGCCCCTGGTACCTTTTTCATAGGCTTTTTTAAGTTTGGGCAAGGACACAGGGGCCCCATGATCCCCTATTGCCCGGGGGCCCCATGAGTTGTCAGTCCGCTCCTGCATGGATCTCTCCCTCTTAGGCTACGTCCACACTAGCCTTGTTTGCAAGTGGCAGAAAGGCAATTGGGAAGCGTTTTTACCGCTTCCCAAACGCCTCGGACAATTGTGCCCATTGCAGCACATGGTGCTGTTCTAACAGGAGCGGTAGCGGCGTGGTGTGGTGCGGCAAAACAGACGCCTCTGGTCGAGTCAGGAGGCGTTGAAGCCTCCTATTCTAGTCTATGGTGCCGCCCGGCCGGCGTTTGCGGTGCGGTTGCGACGCGGTTGCGGGGCGTTTGCGGAGCGGTAACACCATTCAAACATCATTATAGGCGTTTGTGGAGCATTTTTAACGCTCAGCAAACACCTAGCAACTGCCGCTGAACCGCGCATGCGGCGTTTGCGGAGCATTTGCAGAGCTTTAAAAAAACGCTCCGCAAACGCCTGACCAACGCTTGCGAAAAGCGTAGCACTTTATTGGGAAATTAAGTAATATTAGCAATTAATTGTTTCTTATTATATTCATTTAGTGTACTGTTGGTGGGATCTCATCACAACACATATGTATTTGTTTTTTTGGTATTTATTTAGAATATCAGCACATTTAGAGTATTAAGAGGAGCACTTTAATGCTAAAAAAAAACCGCTAGTGTGCATGGGAGCCTAAATGTAAAATTGTTGTTTTTTTTTTTTTATAGCGCAAAAAATAAAAACCGCACAGACGATCAAATACCACCAAACGAAAGCTCTATTCGTGGGAAAAAAAGGATGTAAATTTAATTTGGGTGCAGCGTTGCATGACCGCACAATTGTCAGTTAAAGTAACGCAGCGCTGTAACACAAAAAATGGCCTGGTCGGGAAGGGGGGAAATCCTCAGGAGGGCAAATAGTTAATGTACATACCAAGACAGGATAGAGATGACATATATTGGAAGGGGGGAGGGAGTGTGAAAGGATTAAAGCAATCCCACAACCTTGGGATCTACTGATCTGGAACTAATGATGATACCATTTATTCATTCGTTAGTTCCACTTCTTCCACTGTTTCAGAGGAAGGGGCGGGCTCTACAATGTAAACACTACACTGTTTACACTTGTAATGGTTATGATTGGTCATCAAAGTAATCACATGGTACTTGGCTCTGTACAATGTGTCTGTAGAGTGAGCCATCTAAATCATTTCGTAGGTCTGTTTCACACCAATGTTTTTTATTGCATTTTGCAGAAACGCACTACAGTCCATTTAACATGGTTTCCTACGGGACATGTTCACATCTATGTGTTTTTCAGCTGCATATTTGAAAAGAGTCAGGGACTTTTTTAATCACTTCGAGTCCGGACACTTTCACCCCATTCCTGTCCAGGCCAATTTTCAGTTTTCAGTGCTAACACAATTTGAATGACAAATGTTTATAACCAAAAATTATAATTTTTCAAAAAACATTTTCTACAGGGCAACCAGCCATACAAGTTCTTCTTTAACTACTTCATATCCAGACACTTTTACCCCCTTCCTGTCCAGGCCAATTTTCAGCTTTCAGCGCTGTCACGCTTTGAATGGCAATTGCGCGGTCATGCAACACTGTACCCATATGAATTTTTTAGCATTTTTTTGAGACAGATAAAAATTTATTTTGGTGGTATTTATTCACTAGGATTTTTTTTTCTGCTATATAAATGAAAAAGTCCAGAAATTTTGAAAAAAAAAAGTGTTTTTCTTATAAAATTTTGCAAATAAATAATCTTTCATCATACATCTTGGCCAACATTTATTCAGTTATCTTTTTAGTAAAAAAAAAATAGCCCAAATTAGTTTATAACCAAAAATTATAATTTTTCAAAACATTCTTTTACATTTTTATTTTATTTTTTTATATTATTATTTATGTTTTTTTTTAACATACTGTCACCCTAGCAGTACAGGGTCACCATAGTGACCCTGTACTACTAGTGGGGGGTGACGACGTTTTTTTTTTCTTTTTTTACACTGATTGCTTTTACACCCATAAAGGCTGTAAAAGAAATCATTTCTCCTTCTCTCTGGCTGCATTCTTGCAACCATTGAGAAATACTGTGAGCACTGTGATTGGTCACAGCTTGTCACATGGTACAAGGCTGTTGTCAATATCCTTGTACCATGTGACCTCTGTGATCATTCACAGATTTCATAAGTAGTAAGCAATGATGTGAGGACGTGACATCTTGCTTACTACTATTCATGTGATCGCTGATTGGCCAATCAGTGATCACATGATCGGGACCTCACACAGAGGTCCCGTACAGTGATTGGACACAGCGGGCACTGGATCGTGGTGCCGCGCATTCCCAGGGAGTGTGCACAGGCAGTGAATGCGGAGGCCATTTATAAACGACCACCCACTCCAGCACTGCTCCCGTCTGGCCGTTTATGTACATGGGCCGGTTGGGAAGTGGTTAAACAAAACACTGTGCGTTTTTGGGTCAATAGACTTCCATAGACATGCGTCCAAAAATGTGTTTTTCTGCCTCCTTGTAATGTCCTCGGTGAGATCCTGACCATCTCCTTTCCCTCTCATTTCAGTTTGTTTGGAATGAGCAGTGCACATTAGTTGCAGTCATGTGCATTGCTCTATGCACAGTACACACCCCATAGTTCATAGCCCATCTCAGGAGTAAGCAAGAGAGGGTGGCTATGTTCAAACATACATGGGACCGTAGACAACAAACGTAGCCACCCTCTATTAGGAAGTCAGATCACAGCAGCAAAAAAAAAAAAGGAATTTGGAGATCTGGAGGCAGCTGAGAAAGACAGAAGGGACTTGTTTTAGTAAATCTGAATTATATTCACCTCTGATCCAGCAATGCGCTGCCTTGGAGCTCCCTGCCTGACCGCTGACACCTTTGGGTGGCAGCTTCTGGGTCCCCAACACCAGCTCTCATTGGCTGGATGGGGATGACATCACTCCCACGAATGTGCGGAAGTTCTGTCAAATTTGGCATTGCCAAATTTGTACAGTGAGCTGTGTCTGCACGGGGTGAACAGGCACCCACTCAGGGGCGTATTTGCCACAAGGCTAACAAGGCATTTGTCTAGGGCGGCATTTTTCAGGGGGGCAGCACCGTCACCCAGAAGAAGGGATGGAAGAAGGGATACACGCAGCATGGGGACCAGGTGGGATCCAAGAGAGACTGTGGGCTGCTTGATGGTGTATGCAGAGCCTGATTCTCGTTCTCAGGGATGTCCGGAGCTGCAAAGGTGAGTGTCTTTCTCTCTAGCGCTGGTGGTGGTGGTGGGGGGTATGGTTTGCCAGATTTGTACAGTGAGCTGCGCCTGCATGACTCACAGTACAGGGGTGGACAGGCACCCAATCAGGGGCATATTTACCACAAGGCAAACAAGGCATTTCCCTGGGGCGGCATTTTTCAGGGGGGGCAGCACTGCCACCCAGAAGATGGGAAGGAAGAAGGGACACACGCAGCATGGGGACTAGGTGGGGTCCAAGAGAGACTGTGGGCAGCTTGACAGTGTATGCAGAGCCTGATTCTCGTTTCCAGGGATGTCTGGAGCTGCGAAGGTGAGTGTCTTTCTCTCTAGTGCCAGTGGTGGTGGTGGTGGTGGGGGGGTTTGCCGGCGTATGGGGGGGAGGTGGTAGTGGAAGCCTCTCTTGGGGGGGCAGGAGTGTTGTTGGTCAATGTCAGGCTTTCCATGCGGGAAAGGGGGGGGGAATTTTTGTGTTGCCTAGGGCAGCACAAAACCTAAATATGCCACTGCACCCAATGGCTCCCATTGCTGTCTCAGCCAATGAGAAGAGGGAGTCCTGGGATAGCTGAGACTCCAGTGCACATGGCTGGATGGAGAGGGGGCTTAGGTGAGTATTAGGGGGTCTGGGGGGATGCTGCACACAGAAGGTTTTTTACTTTCTTACATAGAATGCAGGAAGGTAAAAGAACGTCAGCCTTTACAACCACTCTAGGTAGTGGATGTGTCTGGATCAGGGGCGGACTGACCATTTGGAAACACGGGCACTGCCCGAGGGCCCGGGGTCAGTAGGGGGCCCCATGAGATGCCCCTGGTACCTTTTCCATAGGCTTTTTTGAGTTTGGGCAAGGACACAGGGGCCCCATGATCCCCTATTGCCCGGGGGCCCCATGAGTTGTCAGTCTGCCTCTGGTCTGGATTATTGATGGAGAATAAGCCTGGGTTCACATATATGCAGTGCGGTATATCGCAACCACACCGCATTCCTGTGCAAATCACATGCGATTTGTGTGCGGTGCGATTGGAGTCATACATTTTGTTTGGCTCTAATTGCACCGCACCAAAAATGTGCAGGACCCTTTTTTTGGTCCGCACTAGAATCGGATCACACCTATGCGATCCGATTCTGCCCATTGCACCGCGTTTTGCGGACCGCTTTCAGAGTGTTGTTAACTTAACATACACATCTGCAGCGGTTCGCATGAACGGGGGGCGATTCTGATGCGGTATGGAATTCCCACAGAAAACGCTGCAAATTCCACACCTCATCAGTGTGAACCAGGGCTTAGGGTATCAATTAGTGACACCTTAAGAATACATATTTGATGTTTTGTTTTTTAGCCAGCGTTTTGTGTCACTTTAATCTTACTGATGTATTTTACATGGCTGGAGTTCATTGATTTTCATGGTGTTGATCATGTGACCTGTGCAGCAACATGACAGCGGTAGCGTGCTGGGCAAACACCATCATTCACATGTGCCTGGGGCAACATGAATTGTGAATACGGCCCGGGCCTGAGTGACAGGGATAACATTCCTGAGCCATGATGATGAGAAGAGGCGATGTCTTGGCTGTACAGCCGGGATTTATGTGCAGAAGACGTGACATTCGCTCAGGACGCGGACAGTGAAGGAGTCTGGCCTCCTGAGAGAGATGGCTCTTGAAGAAGGGAGGTCAACAAGGATCACACTGAATTAAAACAACCTGTTCTCAGCACACGGCACAGAAAAGAATGAGGAGTGAAGGGTACAGTAAACATGGCTCTGTTCTACCGCATGGTGATGGAAAGTGGGAGCACTTTAGGCCTCATTCACACAGGGCGATTTTGCAGCCACTGGTTCACACTGATGCGGTGTGGAAATCGCAGCGTTTTCTGTGCGAATTCCACACCACATCAGAATCGCACCCCGTTCATGCGAACCGCTGAGTGTGTGTATGTTAAGTTAACAACACCCCGAAAGTGAAAACGCAGCGCGATGCGCAGAATTGGATCGCATAGGTGTGAAGAACCATGCGATCCGATTCTAGTGCGGACCAAAAAAAGGGTCCTGCATGTTTTTGGTGCAGGTGTGGTGCGATTAGAGCCATACAAAATGTATAGCTCGAATCGCACCGCAGACAAATCGCATGTGATTTGCACAGGAGTGCGGTACAGTTCCTGTGCGAATCACATGCGATATGCCGCACCACATATATGTGAACCCAGGCTGAGGGGTGTCAGGTGTTTTTATTTTTTTACAGCTTCCAAATGGCCCTCCATGTTATCCTATGTGTCCATGCACACATACATTTTTAGAAGCTTTTAGTAGCGTTTTATCTGCAGGAAAAAAACCCAGGGCCAGTGCACCCCGCTGCAGCAGCGCTTGGGCAGTTAAAAGGTAAATGGAAAAAAAAAAAAAACGTTTGACGTGTGTAAAAGCGTCTAAACGCATGTTAATGCTAGGAGCTTTTAGCGCTTGAGGATTAATTGATTTCAATGGCTAGTAATAATTTATGAAATGAATGAACGCCGAAGAGCTTGACGCCTGTAAATGCACCTAAGCAGTAGACTGGCCCTTTGTTTAGAAAGTTTGGGGACCCTTGCCTTAGACGAGCATAGTGTAGATCCCATTATGGCCCCAATGCATTAATAAAGTGGTAATAACCCCCCTGGTGCTATTCCCGAGTGTAGCTCGGGGTTAACTTTCAGTACCAGAAGCGGTAATCCCGAGCTACACTAGGGATTACACTGCAGCGTTGCTCTGGGATCCTTTCTGCACTTACCTTGTCCTGCGGTCCCACGATGCCCCCCCTGCTGCTGCGTCCCCGGCAATGTCCTCCGGCCGATGCCAGCATCTGTCTTCCAGGTTCCATTACCTGTAAGCGTCGGTACATACGGGACGTACGGGGGATGGAACCGGCAGGAAATTCAAAAATTTTTAAATTTGACATTCACTAAATACACTAAAATCTCATAGTAAAACATTACTGTATCAAACCATTTCACATACATTTTGTCCCGAGTGCTTTGTCCTGTGCCCTGCCTGCATTTTTACTGTTCTTTCTGCCTGGAAACTGAGAAATGTCCATGGCGTCCAAAAAGCGTCCCTTTAGGTCAAAAGCGGTTTTAGACCGGCTAGAGAACAGCGATAGTAAATCAGAACCACTTGCAGAATTGAGTGATAATGATTCGTGGGAAAATTTGTCATCAGACACTGAAAACGATTTTGCAACTTTGCTCAGTGATGTGCGAACTTGGCGCTATATTTCAAATTTCAGTGTTTTTGGTTTGATTATATTATTGAATTACATTTATTATTATTATATTATTATTTTTTATAATTATTTATGTAGCGGTACCCCCGAAGGGGCTGCTTAAGTTTGTTCACTCCGCCACTCTTCCTTTCAACCCCAAGAACTGTCTCAGCCCACACTGGCACACCTGGCAATAGTGTAAGTGCAAGGACCAATGAAAAGCACACACTTTATAATAAAACACAGAGATCAGCTTTACTGTAGACCTCTATGGGAAATAATAAACATTAACAACAGGTATATGTTAGGAGAATCAAGAGAACAACAAATACTGTGACGGAAAGCAATATAACTCACTTTTGGACTCGGGCTGCTTTCAGGGGATTCCAACCATGAATAACCCCAAGAGCAGAGGCAAACACTTAAATGGCAACCTCAAAGTGGATTTAACTCCTCTTCATAAATTTAGCCCCATGATGTCCAAGCAGAAGGAGAGCAGAAGAATGACTCTCTGTTGTGTCAGACTTCTCCCTTCTAACCCCCGACACCATGACCCCAATAGGAAAACACTGTACCCAACTGATGTTTAATAGCTATTCCCTCACACACCATGCAATATAGAGGCCTGACTACGCATGCGCGTGCTCGTATGGCACCAGTAACTTTAGTCTCTTGGTAACAGGATGAATGTTGGGATCTTCAGCTAGCCACTTTCGTTGGTGCACTTAAACTCCTTAAACACTTAAAGTGTAATTGTAATCCTGTGGCAGTATTTGTATAGCAAAGTGAACACGGTGTCTGTTCAGCAGGGCCATCTACACAACCCAGTGCCTGGTGAATATGAGCAAGGTATGATGTCTCTGTATGTGTGCAATGTTCCTGTCATCTGACAGTGGGAGAAATCCCTCTCACCAGATCCTGTGACAAAGGCCCAAACGATCGTCTTGGAAATGACAGGGTTCTCTGGTCACCTCACGATGAGCACTTCACACTGTCAGCGTAGGCACTGTACTGTAGACCACTTCTCTCAGTTTGGATGTTCCTTTGTCTGATGCAGATCACCAAACATGCAGTGCACTGCCCATCAGCACTTCTTTGCCAGGTCCAATCTCTCTCCTGCCACATGCAATCTCCCTCTCCCTCAGGAGAAAACCCAAGATGGCCCCTTCACTCTGCTCTCTCTAAGCATGATGGCTTTCGTGGTTCTTTTTTAATTCTATCTCCATATTAGCCTATAAGGCCGTTTCTGTTCAAAACTCCATCGTCCACAATGCTTTGCAGCTGCACTTCCTGCTTGAAAGAGCCCTTGTCATTGGCTCCTTTAATGGCTCTCATAATTGGCTCTCTCTCTCTTACAGTCTGAGAGGAGAAAGGGGGGCTGAAATCCCTCACTGCTTTGTCTGTGTCAGGGCAAGTGTCAGGTTACACAGGAGAGGCCAGTCAGCAGATCACAGCCATGAAACAGGATTAATCTCTCCTGCTACATTTATTATATTATAATTTATGTTTTCATGTTTCAAATGTTATCCTACCCGCGATGTTTACTAGACTCTTGTTCGGACAGATTTCAGTGAGTTATTCCTAAAAAATTACAGGCCTACAATAAAAAAAACTACATATTTCCATGCAAAAAAATGTACCGCTTTGAGCACAGAAATATGGACATAATCAGACCACTAGGGAGGTTAAGGGCCGGTTCACACCAAAATGTGGTGTGGGAATAACCCACAGAACAGATAAACACATTGCCCTTGTGAGTCGCATGCAAGTGCCAATGAATTGATAATGACACCCCAAATGCTGCATATGCATCCACCATATCACATGACACAGTAGAATCCTCCAGTTTGGCACAGCGCGTTCTTAAAAAAAGTGGTGCTTTTCTGCATTCCTGTGCATTTTACAGCCCATTCAAATGAATAGGCTGTCAAAACCTCACCGCATGGGAATGACTGTGTTCCAGTGGGAACCACCTCTATACGTATTTTATTTCTCCAAATTTTCTAAAAACTTTCAGGGTCATGAAAACTCCTAATTTTACCACTTCAGTTCTCAATCATGAGTACTAGTATCTCTTAAGTCACTGAAAAAGGTGATCTGTGTCAAGAATGTTTTACAGTAAATCTGCCATGAGAGAAATAAGACATTGCTGACATCTGTCTCTGAAAATGCTACTTAACTGGCTGTCATGCTCTTTGGATTCACTGATGTCTAAATCACAGGCATAGTTACAAAGTTAATCAGGTCGTCCAAGTCCAAGGAGTTCAAGTAGCAGAAAAAAACAGGTATGTAGATCGGCATGTACTTTGACGTTACTTGCTCTGGGTGAGTGATCCAGATAGTACTAAAGCCAGAGAACTATTTTTTTTGGAACTGCACTGATGTTTATGTTACTAGTTTAGATGTAATTAGAGCTTCACTGAGTTCTTACTTGTGAAAATTTCATATAACCGATATTATTGCTACACAGTTTAATGCTATTAAAAATCACTTTTCCATTTCATCTTTATTTCATATAATTAAATAAAAATGGCAAAATAACTCAAACAATGCCAACTGTGACAATGCTGGGGGCATGACTTCGATCACTGCTGTTCCCAGAAGTCTCTGTTTGTGAGCCTTTAATCTCTACTAGTATAGTGGCAGAGGGTACCGCA